AGGCTATCAAAACCAAACTCCCAGGAAAACTGACGAAAATGATCTTGATTCATCAGGATAATGCTCCAGCAAGCAAGTCCATGGTTTCAATGTCTGCTATTCCTACTCGTGACTTTAAATTGGTTGATCATCCTTCCAATTCTCCTGATTTAAACTATCATCTGCCCCTCCCCATGAAAAAACACTTGGCTTAGCACCATTATCGCAATGATGATGAAGTCATATCTACTGTTGATGACATTTTGAACAACAGGATGAACAATCTTATTTGTACACTCAGATGTCAATTAACCTGGAAATTTCTTACTAAAAACGAATTTCAGTTAATGGTTGGTAGAATATGGAGAAGAAGAAATAATAAAAACATAAATATTAAGAGCTTCAAAGATAGGAAGTTGTGGAGAACCATGAGCCCACACGCCCTGAAGAATATTGTACATAGGAGAACACCATCACAAACCTTTGCTGTACACTTATATAAAAAGGACATAATGACAAAATAGGCATCTCTGAAAAAAGTCGATGATATCCATAAATATTATTAAAGCTTAAAATTAACATCAGGAAGAGGCAACTGAAATTTCTGGGACACGTAATGAGAAAGGAAGGTTTGGAGAATCTGATACTCACAGGGCGAATAGCGGGAAAGAGAGACAAGGAAAAGCAACGTGTGACATACTTAGTGGGCTTAAGCAAGGGAATGACAGAACAGGGTACGGGAGAAGTCGCAAAAGGAGAAAAAAACATATTGAGAACTACAAGGGATAGGAGAAGTGGAGGGCTATGATCGCCTACGTCTTGAAAGCACGTGGCACATAAAAGAAGAAGTAAGAATGTTAGGTAAAAATGCATTGTTTTTTTTTTCTGTAAGGAATACTGTGCTAAGTTTGGGTCAGTAATCGTGTTTAAGATAAGACAGATTGAATACCAGCCTTCCTCTATTCAACCCCACCCTTTTTGGCCTTGTGCCACATTTTTGTATTTTCAAAATAAATATTATTTTCAATTGTCGGGACTGCGGGGTTATAAATAGTCTGACAACTAATCAAAGTCTAGTTATCTCCCTTGCCCGTTCAATATACACAACGTATAATAATTGCTGGGTTGATTTATTTTTTTGTCTGAAGATTTATTTTTATTTATATAGTTTGCGAAATTATCTTGTATTCAATTCGTCCTTGAATGATAGAAAAATACACGTAATAGACGAGCACTTTAAATGACCCTTGACAACCAATTCTTGAATATTAACAATATCCTACGGAACTTTTATCGATAAAATTTTACATTTATTGTCTTGTTTCCCTTCTCACTTGCAGATTTGATAGATTTTCAGTTTATTTTTAATTTCTTTATTCAAGCACTCAATTATTCTAGGCGATATTTATTTATAGTTGCAAGAAAACAGTGCAAAATCAATCGAAAGGAAAACAAACAAAGGATACGTTAAAACTGCCATTCCTCCCTGGATTGGATATTGTTGCCATAACTGGTTTCATCTTTCTGCATTAGATCTCGTGATTCTCGGCAAAAGCCAATGAAGAGTCTGTAATGTTATCGGTCCTGACCTGACATATCAAATTCAGTCACTTTTTTCCACGTGACGTTGCTTCCTTCTGCCGTTTCTATAAATATTTTCATAATAGTTGTTCTAATGACCTTTCCTATTTCGTACATCGACCGCAGGAATTTAAGCAGGCAACTAAATTTGCAATTAGGTCTCGTAATTTTACTGTTGGATTAGTTAGATATATAACCGTAAGTTGGTTTTCTAATCGTTCCTTTTCTCGCATTTCTCGCCTGTGGAACTCTTTTCTGATTTCTTCCTTCCCTGGCACCCACAATTTTCAAAAATCTAAATGCAATGTCGGTCGCCATGTTCTGTCTTCATGAAACATGATCCTTTAATGATTTTCTCTTCACTAAAGCTTTCTCGTTACCCTTCCCCCACTCTGCGTCTTAGTGGCTTTATCACCTTACTTGGGGTAAAAGGAGTGAAAAAAGATACTATTATAAGGAAAAAAATAAATTCGACATCGCTAAAGAAAGCAATTGTTAATAACAATGAATCTGATGTATAAAATCGGCACAAAATTCATATCGTTTTTTTTAACGCTTCAAATAGGCACATTTCATTACGTACCAAAAATATAATAGAAGTAAAATTACGTATCGATGTACCTGGAGTGTACCAATTATTGGCACCGGACGTAGAATTGGCGGACGAGTTCGATTCCTGTCTCTTTTATATTCTAATGTAAAGGCATGAATCCAATCCGTTTATCTGCCCCAGATTGTTTTCCTAACAGAAAAGACACAGCTTTACAGGTTTTATAGGTAACCATACTAGAAGGCCTATTATGAATTCAAAACCAATTGGCGATGAGATTGACAACTCTACCCCATAAAAAAAAAAAAAAAAAACTTTCTTACTATGGACATCGCAGGATCAGCAGCCAAGGTAGTGGTCCATTGACCCCTATTTATTATAAAGCAAATGATTTTTATTATTTCCAAACGAATAAATAGATAAAGTATTCCAAAAATCGGGTTCACCCGTAGCAGAGGGGATATTTTTGAGGAAACTGGAGTTGGCGGGTTGAGTTGAATTTCCAGTCAAAGCTGTTGTATCTACTCTTGCACAAACCATGCAGCCATTGCTTCTAGTTCTACCTCCCAAATCTCGTGGTTCATAACTCAGTAGATTCGGCTTTCTAGTTTGATTGACAACCACGCTAGAAGAATAACAAATCTGAACTCAACATGGGTAACTCCACTTCGACGTATATTTTTTACGGAAACCTCAGTAGCAACATCTAACGTGGTGAGCCAGTGAACCCTATTTATTACAGAACAGATGATTTAATTAACTAAAATGATTTCCAAATAGATAAATAAATGTATTCCACAATTCATATGCACCCGTAGTAGAGCGGATATCGATGCTGAAATTAGCATCGGCGTGTCGAGATCAAATTCCGGCCGAGGCCTTTGCGATCACTTTCACACCAATATCCTTGTAACGGTACGAATCGATCTTTTCTACGCACCCCCCTCAGTAGAAGTTAATAGTAGAAGAGGTTCTCTAGATTTGTAAAGCAACCAGTGTAGAATTATAGCTCTGAATTGAAAACTGGTTAAATCTATATGCAGGGGGAACAAGAACAACGATACCTTGTGTAATAAGGCTGTGACACCTTTATTTCACAACGAAGACTAGAGGGTCGACATAACTTCTGCAAAGATATGAATCCATCTTTTCTCTCATTAGCGGTGAAAGAATGGGCGATCTAAACTTGATTGACAACCGGTCTAGCAGAAAAAAATAACGCTTGTGAATTTCGACTGGCGCCTAACTTTCTAGTGTTTATGTATGGTCTAGGCCTTGTGAGAGCGAGGCTGTGTAAGGAAACTGTTGTGGTGTCCTTCCTCTAAAGAGTCTATGTTGGACTCTTCCGCCTACTATAAAATTAGTAGGAGAGAAGACCTTGGGGGAACAGTTGAATAGATATAACGATGGGTCAACTTACACACACTCACTAGTCGTGTAATACTCTTCTGTTGTGCTTACTGTTTAATATACGATATATCTGCAACACTTGTTTGTGTTAGAGACTTCGACCGGAGCTTCGAAAAGCTTCAGTAGAAGTAAGCCTCCCCGAGGCTTAATTTTCCTACTAATTAATATTAAATGGAAGAGTCCACAATAGCCTCATTAGAGGGAAGACACCACAACACTTACATACTCAATGAACCCTTTACGCTTTAGTGGGTTTATTTCCTTGTTAGTGCTGAAATGCCGAGTGGTTAGAACGTGTGCTTTCTGACCAGGAGACCCGTGTTCGAATCTCACCATGAACGGTTTGTCAGGAAGGAGACTTCCTGATGTTATCGGTCTGGAGGGGGACGATCCCAGCGTGTCACACCTTTGGAAAGAACCTGAAAACCATACCACTGGTTGACCCAAGGCCTGTGAATGAAATTGGGTTAACGGGACACTTGGAGGACCTTCAATAGCTGTGCTAGCACGAATTCACAAGTCATCATGACCGAGGGTTTGAGTGTGCTGGCCTTGTTAAGACTGTTGATCACGATAGATAACACGCTCTCTCCCAGAAACTGTAACTAAGGTCTGCTCAGCATAGTTGCAGTATAAACCACAGGTGGCCTCTGTGGGTGTTGAGCAAGCACAAATGTGTCTGAGCGAACGTCTGAATTAGGGATTGGCTAGTCACCCTAGTAATCGCGTATCCTCGAATACGAGGGGCCAGTTATTATTTTTAGTGGTGAAATCAATAGAAAAGATATTGATGATTGCTGCCTTAGCTGGATTGGAGTCCTGAAAACTGTTTACACATCTTTGTGGATCATGAATTATTTTACACTCTACAACTTTTTCCCCAAGCGTTGCTAGTCTTTTTCTATCGCTATTTCCATGGCAAATGTTCAGCTGAGTAACATTCCTTAATTCCACCACTTCAGACTTTCATAGTTAGAACCCGCCACAATACCTACACAGGGTCAACTTCTCCCCATCATTTTCGTATTCCATTGGTAGGGAGAAGGTTCCAGTCAGCAGCTTTCCCAGAACTGTTACTTTGTGCAACAGACTCTCAAAAGGATGCTTTCCTGGTCAGTATAGAGTAAAATGTTTTCTATCCTACATATACTCATAATATGCACTGCTTAATTTTTCCTTTTATGCACTTCGAAAATTAACCCTCTACCTCGAGTGGCTCTTGGTTGACTGTTTGGTTTTATTTGCAGGTTATTTAAAGAAAGAAAATATGTTTAGATCTTAAGACTTTTGGTGGTTTAATAATGATTTACAGATACGAGTTCTACTAATTAACCCGTAGCTGGGGAGAAGAGGTGGATCCATACATTTTCGAAAGGATATTTGCATGTAAGTGAATATAACGAGTGCGGCTGGAATCGGAAATCGGTTCTTCTATTTATAATACCGAAACATTATGAATTACATTATGCGCACATCTAAGATTACAGCACTTGACATTCCAAGGCGGTCACCCATCTAGGTACTGACCAGGTCCGATGTTGCTTAACTTCGATGATCGTTCGAGAACCGGCGTTACAAAGTAATATATGGCTATAAACTTGAATGTCTTTTGTATCTGCATTGACGGTATTAAACTTTACTTGTCAATCAAGATGTGTGTTTTTTTTTCATGGGTATCAAACTTCAAGCAACATTAATTTTGATACCATTTCTTCTTTTTTCTTTTCTGGTTTTTATATTTTTGTACTTAAATCTAAAGCAAGAACTTGTATTCTCATGTGACTACATTCTCTGAATGTCAGTTTCATATTCTTTATCTTGTAGATGTCAAAGCGTTCGCCATTCAAATCAATATAAGAATAAAGATCAGCATTTCCTTTTACGCCAACGTCGTTTCATGCACTTCGATTACAAACAGGATATTCTTCTTCTTCTTCTTCTTCTTCTTCTTCTTCTTCTTCTTCTTCTTCTTCTTCGTTTCAGAAAAAAAAGCGAAGTCTTAAGCCAAAAACTATATGAACATATTCCAAGATGACCTTTCACCATTTTTATAGACTTACAATTCAGAAAACGCAACCTTTCGTTCCGATGAAAAGAACTTCGTCGTATGGTCGACACATTTTCGTCTCACTTTGCACGAATTTCGCAGCTCATTTACTTCCAGTATTTATTTCATTTTACCCGTTTTTATTTTTATTTTTCACTGTCCATCTGTTAAGAAATGAAAACATTTTAACATGCGCTATCTGAATACAAATAACAAAAATATGCTATAAACACACACACACATATTTATGTGTATACATACATACATACATATATATATATATATATATATATATATATATTAATAGAAATAAGTAACTTTTAAAAAGAGTCTGCAAAGAATGCATACCAGAAAGAAAATTTCAAAAGACTATATATATATATATATATATATATATATTAAGAAATGGACAAGGTCCGACAATTTATTCATTAAAGACATTTTTATGTTTAACGTTGTTTTTTTATAGATACAAGTATTTAAGTAAATGCTCTGTTTATGATAAACAGTATTAAATAACATTTACCGGCCTGAATGTCCGCTGACGATTAAATCTAGCATAAAACAGACTGTCGCCTCTATGTCCACTTTTATATTTACACACGCTCTATTTCTGATATTGAGCACTTATCCCATAAATATAGCACACCTTAAGACTATATGTCTTCATATATATATATATATTTTTTTTTTTTTATAGTGTTCGCCAATATTTCTGTCCGGTCCGTATTCTTTGCAGATAGTTTTAAGAGCTACTTATTTATATATATATATATATATATATATATATATATATATATATATATATATATATATATATATATATATATATATATATAAGAAGAAGAATAATGAGTAATCATCACCATCTTGTTTCGATTTGAAGACATGCTGCAAATCACTGTGATTTCTCATCCTCAGCAACTTTGTAAATGTCTTTTATGATTCTTATTCGAAGCACTGTGTCACGTCTTCCAAACAGTTCAGTTTTAAAGGTGATTGATGAAATTTTCTTGTTAGCTCCAATATGTATACCATCATTTTTCGACCAATATACATGGATGTTACTCTTAAATTTTCTATTGATGACAGAGCCATTTCCATCCTATGTACTGAATGTTTCCAAAGCTATTAAGTTGTGCTGACTAACTCTGGTAGTAATGTCAAGTTCTTTGATTTTGGTTTTTTTGAGACAACATACATCAATCGTTTTTTCGTCCTGTTTCAGTCATTCATGATTTCATTTTCACAAGTTCTCTGGGATTAAATTAATGTCTTAACGATTGGCAGCTAAAAGAAGTGATTACACCGGAGATATTGTTATTTCAGTTATTGTTTGTTTTTTGTTTTTTTTGTTTTTAAATACGTGATGATTATTTCTTTCTATGTATTTTATTTTGTTTAGTCATTTAAGCATAGAACCGTGTGCTAAAACGTTCTCAAACAGACCAAGAACTACTTCTCATGAGTCATCTTTCAAGCATATATATATATATATATATATATATATATATATATAAATATATAAACAGTGACTATTATAGCTAATATAGCGAGACTCTTTGCATAAAGTGAATTGAGTCACTGACGGTCACTGTGTAACGTCATGTTGCTCTGTTATTATCAAAGAAATATAGTTCTGCGAATATATAGACCAACGATATCTCAAATTACTGGGTACGTTGCAAAAATCAGTATACTTATTTTACATTCTTTAGACATGGTTATATATGTATAAGATTCTTTAAGAATGGTTAAGTGTAGTGCATTTAATGAGGATCGACCTCAATACTCAGTCGTAGTTGTTTTAGCAAAACAGGCTTGCTAACCGTTAGTCCATGAGTCATTTTTATAAAAGTTGATGGGATAATCCTTTAAACTTGCTTGAATTAAATTTTATAAATGCCACCCTAATTAAAACAAAATTCTTGACTAAAAGGCAGTCTGATAAATATTTTACCATCTATATACACACGTCAAATCACTATTTACATTATTCGGACTATTGTATCTTTGCCGCCATATTTATTATAACGTTTCGGCCGTTGTACGCTCCGGCCTTCTTCAGGTCGTTGGAACTGAACCCTTTATTTCGCTCACTGGGTAGACTGTTCTAATTCCACATGCCATGTTTTAATGGATGTCAGTTATCAGTTATCTCCCCTCTCCAAGTTCTCCATTACCTTAACCGGGTATTGAACTCACTCTCTTTGGGCTCTGTCACTTGATCTAATCAACGCTTTTATCCATTGTGTCATGTGTACTTGAGTTTGGGCTCAGTTCGACATTCTAACCACCTGAAGAAGACCTGAGCGTACAATGGTAGAAATGTTGTAATAAATATGGCGACAAAGATGGGGACAATAGTTCGAATAATGTAAATAATGTACATAATACCTCATATCAGAAATATAGACAGATACTGAAGGATCGGATAAATATAGCAACAAAGATGAGGACAATAGTCCGAATAATGTAAATAGTGTACATAATACCTCATATCTCAAATATAGACAGATACTGAAGGATCGGATAAATATGGCAACAAAGATGAGGACAATAGTCCAAATAATGTAAATAGTGTACATAATACCTCATCTCAGAAATATAGACAGATACTGAAGGATCGGATAAATATGGCAACAAAGATGAGGACAATAGTCCAAATAATGTAAATAATGTACATAATACCTCATCTCAGAAATATAGACAGATACTGAAGGATCGGATAAATATGGCAACAAAAATGAGGACAATAGTCCGAATAATGTAAATAGTGTACATAATACCTCATCTCAGAAATATAGACAGATATTGAAGGATCGGATAAATATGGCAACAAAGATGAGGACAATAATCTGAATAATGTAAATAATGTACATAATACCTCATCTCAGAAATATAGACAGATACTGAAGGATCGGATAAATATGGCAACAAAAATGAGGACAATAGTCTGAATAATGTAAATAGTGTACATAATACCTCATCTCAGAAATATAGACAGATACTGAAGGATCGGATAAATATGGCAACAAAGATGAGGACAATAGTCCGAATAATGTAAATAATGTACATAATACCTCATCTCAGAAATATAGACAGATACTGAAGGATCGGATAAATATGGCGACAAAGATGAGGACAATAGTCCGAATAATGTAAATAATGTACATAATACCTCATCTCAGAAATATAGACAGATACGTCAAAAACACTTTATTACATAAGAAACTTTTATCAAAACCATAAATAAAGAATCTAATATATGTCTGCCTACTGCTACAATCGCTATTACGTATTTTCGGTCCTCACATAAAGCGCCCCTAATAAACATTCGAACAACCATTGAACATAAAAAAATATCTATTGGTAACATACAGAAACGAATGTACATTATATTCCGAATGCCGCGGAGGCAAGCTAAAATTACAATACACTTACACACACGAATTATACACACAAACGCTGCTTGAGAAGACAGATACACGTGATGCCTGCTTAGCCAATGAAAAACAAACAATTCAAAAATTAAAATACCAGAATTTTTTCAGTATTATTTTCTCTGATGAAGCATTAGATTTATAAACATTTTCTGTTACTTAGTTATCCTATCACACACACACACACACACATATATATATATATATATATATATATATATATATATATTATATAGCTGGACACTCGTATTCGAGCATACCCGTCTACTAGGGGGGTTAGCCAATCCCTATTGCAGACGCTTGCTCAAGCGCATTTGTGTTTATTCAACACCCACAGTGCCTACCTGTGTTTTATACTGCAACTACTCTGAGCAGTTACAGTTTCAGGAAGAGAGCGTGTTATCTAGCGTGATCAACAATGTGAACAAGGCCAGCAGGCTCAAACCCCCGGCCACGATGACTTATGACTTAGTTCTAGCACAGCTATCGGCGACCCAATCAGTTTCACTCACAAGACTAAGGTCAACTTGTGGTATGGTTTTCAGGAACTTTCCAAAGGTGCTGCACGATGGGAAGTTCCTCCTCCAGTCCGATAGCATCAGGGAATCTCCTTCCTGACAAATCTACTATGGTGAGATTCGAACCCGGGTGTGGCTGTCAGAATGCGAACGTTCCAACCCATCGGCATCCGATATTTTTACCATCTTCCGAATAACAAGAGTATTCATTACAACAACGTCCTGAATTGATATTTATATTCTGTGGCTCTGATAGATTTCATAATTCTACAATCTGGTTCACCTATAAAGAAGGAACATTTAGGATTTAAAAAAAAAAAATCTTATCTAATCCATATTTTAAAACCAAGTTTTATACTATATTTTTACTTTCTAATTGAAGAGTGCTCCACATATCGCCGTTGTTAGCCAGGATTTAACTATAAGATACAATTCAATTCAATTTGGTTATTAACATATTAAAAATGAATAAAGCCAAAAATAAAGTATTAGCTGAATTCTAAAAAACATTAAAGGACTGGTTGATGAACGGAAGAAATATTCACACTGAGAAATATTCACACCGAGAAA